CACAGAGCTGTCAGACAAAAGGAACAGCTAAAGAACAGGGGTGACTTGAGAGTAAGGCCATAGGTGGACGATGAATGGCCCCTCCCAGAGGAAATAAAAGAGGAGCGAAAGGGGAGTGGAGTTTGCAGGAGACAATTAGTTCGATTAATTGTTTCTTGACTCTCTGAGACTCCTTGCTAAGTTTTGTAGATATCGGTCTGGCAGCTTCATGCTGTTGGGAAACCTAGGTCAGAACACCACCAGTCTGAGTTCTGGACATATCATTCCTGCCTAACCAGGTGGGATGGATCGATGTAATGGGACAAAAACAGTACCCAAGGTAGACTGGGCCTATCCCGTGTACAGCTTTAAAGATTATAATCAATATCTTGAATTCAACGCAGAAGCAAACTGGCACCCAATGCAGCTCGAGCAGAAAAGTTATTAAATGCACCATTCTTTGAGAGCCCAAGATTATGTTGGCACCCACATTCTGTTACCAGCTAAACCTTCCAGATATTTTTCAAGGAGAGACCCATGTAGAGCCCATTGCAATAATTCAAAGGGGAGATAACCCAAACAGGAGATACATGGAGGATAATGGGAGTTATAACTGAAAATACAAGACATGTTAGAAAATGGCCTGGGTTTTCAAAGCTCTGAGTTTAATTCTCATCAATAGAAGATAATATTTGTGTCCCAGGGTTGAACGGTGCAGTTCTTGGTTGTTTTTAATTATCATTATTTTCCATGTTTAAAAGCCAGCCCGGCTGGTAAAAGCATCTTTCTGCCTGAATTGCTAGAGCTGTTGCTAATCAGACCAGATCATACTGGTCTATGCACGCCACGGCAGCTTCCGGCCTGCCTGCACTCCACACTGCATCTGTGATTCCCTCCACCAATTTGATAGAAGGGGTTTTTTTCTGCACAAACCCCTTTCGTTAGCTCTGTTAAAGCCGACTTTAAATGCTGTGGGCCGTGAACAGCTGCATTCCACAGCTGCAAAGAGCAATTTTAGGGAGTAAAAGGCCATCATTTCTGTGTCACGCGTGACCTGGGCTCACAAAAAGTCAGTCCAGAGAAAAGTACACACCAAACCTTGAAGGAATCACTCCACAACTCAGGGCTGGATCAAACAGCACTGTGAAATTGACAGTGGGAATTGGAAAATGCCCACTCAACATTCAAACTCTGCTCCTGTGAAATGTAGATGCAACTAAACCAATTACATAACAGGAACAGGCAGATCTTGCAGAGACGATTACAGATACGAAGATTACGGATGACGTTTTAGATGGGAAGAATGTTCTCAGATACAGTGGGAGAAGCAGAATTGAGGTTGCTTTATAAAAGACCGCTTAGCTGCCTCCCCGAAAAGCACATTTCGACAACAGGAAGTGGCGACTTTCCTCCTGCGCGTTGCAATCTCTTTAATCACAAAGACATAATTCCAAGCATGATGGTTATTAAAGATGCAACAGGCAAAAAGGGATTTCATGAATTCCTCTTCCACAGGGGTGGCAGGCAGAAGAAGAAAGGAGAGCTAGTCCATTGAAAAATATATGAACAATGGTGGTGCAGAAATAAAATGGGGATTGATGAAGCAATTAAGTAAATAAATGTACCATCTCTGTGAAATCGCCTTGAAGAAATATAAAAGCGTTTGCACCATTTTTT